CCAAAGTATTTGAGCTTCAGTTTCATTATCTGGCCTTCCAGGGAACAGTCAGGGTTGATTTCTTTTAGGATTGACTGATTTGATCTTCTTGCAGTCCAAGTGACTCTCAAGAGTCTTCTCCAGCACCATAGTTCAAAAGAATCTATTCTTCGGCTCTCGGCCTTCCTTATAGTCCAACTCTCGCAGCCATACATGACTACTGGGAATACCATTGCTTTGACCATGCGGACTTTTGTTGGCAGGGTGATGTCTCTACTTTTTACTATGCTGTTTAGGTTCGCCATTGCTTTCCTCCCAAGGAGCAGGCATCTTTTAATTTCATGGCTGCTGTCACAGTCTGCGGTGATCTGGGATCCCAGAAACATGAAGTCTGTCACTGCTTCCACGACTTCCCCTTCTATTTGCCAAGGAGTGATGGGGCTGGATGCCATGATCTTAGTTTTTTTGATGTTGAACTTCAAGCCCACTTTTGCGCTCTCCTCTTTTACTCTGAACAAGAGGCTCATGAGGTCCTCTTCACTTTCTGCCATTAGAGTGGTATTGTCTGCATATCCAACATAACATGTCACTAATTCCTGTCTACCTTTTGTCTTCAAAACCTGTTTGGCCTGCAGTGACTTCTATGCATTTTCTCAGACTGAATTAGAGAAAAGTTATGGTTTAGTTACCTCAGGAAGGTTGTTCAGTTGCTCATATATGTGTATGGGAGGGGATTATACACTGTATGGAACATTAACTTAATTTTTCTCTCTATAAGAAGTCAAAAGATTCTTAGTATTAAATACAACTTAGACCTGGTGTTTACATTCTCCCCTAACTCCTTTTCCCCCTAGGTGACACGATGCATTGTAGAGGTCCTTTTGAATGGTCTATCAAAACCCAACGCTCCACCAATCAATCCCCTATGCAAGGAGTTTCTGAAGAAAAGTAAGTGCCGATGTAAAGAGAATCCAATAGATTCGTCCATCTCTGCCTTGACCTAGTAAAATTGTTCGGTAGGCATGACTGCTTCACAAATGACATCATAACCATCCAAGAGCCTATTCAGAAAATAACAAACTATCATTTAATCCATTGGTTCAGACATCAAAAGATTTGTCATGTGAGGTAGCATGCCTGTCCCCAGTTATACATTTGCACGGGGAATGTAGCATGTGACCCAGGTCACGGGGGGGGGGGGGGGGAGCAACCTGAAAAAAAATCCTGCGATTGTGACATCAGAAAAGTGTCCCAACATGTGCAAGGCAGCAAGATGGTGCCTTATTGCAAAGAATTAATTTAACATTTCATCTCTTCCTTCCTTAATGTGAGTTTGTGAGCCATTTGAATTAGAATCACATCATTCCAGTGTCCCACAAGGTCAATTTGGGGGGAGCGACGAAAATCAAATATTCTTTGCCTAGCAGTGGTGCTGGAGGGACTGTGGCTAAAGACCCAGTTACACATTATACTGTGTCAGGGTCCACCCCAGATCTTGTCAAATCAGATGTATGCTGGAGTTCTATGTTTTCTCAGGCACACGGGGACCTGAATTCAGATTGGGACTATGGCTCATGGAGAGGGGGCCTTCCCACTCCCCTGCCATTTTCCCGAACCGAAATGGCTCCAGGGAAGAAGAAGAAGAGAAGAGATTAGATTTATACCCAGTGGCCCTTCACTACCCAAAGGTATCTCAGAGCGGCTTACAAACTCCTTTCTCTTCCCCTCCCCACAACAGACACCCTGTGAGGTAGGCAGGGCTGAGAGAGCTCTTGACAGAAACTGCTCTTTTCCAAGGACAGCTCTTATCAGAACTACGGCTTGCCCAAGGTCATCCAGACAGGTGCAAGTGGAGGAGTGGGGAATCAAACCCGGTTCTCCCAGATTAGAGTCCATGCACTTAACCACTACACCAAACTGGAGACACTGTTTGTCCTGTTAGGGAAGCATATGTATAGTGCATCATAAGTTTCCCCAGTGGAGCAGATAGCAGCTCTCTGTGGTCATTTCAGGTTGGGAAAACAGCAGGAGGAACAAGTTCAAGCCCCCTTTCCCTGCATACTGCAGTCCCAACATGAACCAAAACACCATGTGACTCAGAATTAAGACTGAAAAATTGCTAGGAGCTCTAAACATGGAATTCCCAGCACACATCTGGTTAGACAGGATGCAGGGTGGACATGGGATGGACCCAGAAACAGTGTACTACGTAGTCATATCTTCACTGTGGGGGGCATGCTCAGCATGGTAGAATGTTCTGGCATCTCCACTTATAGCAGCATTTCCCAACATCTGGGTCCTGAGTCCCAAAAGTTGGTCGCGAAGCCTGTGAAAGTGGGTTCCAGTCTTTTGCTGTTCGTTTGATTTGCACATGGCTCTGTTATTTTTAAGCGGGTCACCATACCGAGACCCATATTGAGAGCCAGTTTGGTGTAGTGGTTAAGAGCGGCAGACTCTAATCTGGAAAACCATGTGACGCCAGCTGGGTGACCTTGGGTCAGTCACACTCTCTGAGAGCTGTTCTCTTGAGAACAGTTTTCTTAGCACTCTCTCAGCCCCACCTACCTCACAGAGTGTCTGTTGAGGGAAGAGGAAGGGAAGGTGATTCTAAACCTCTACTACTATTACTACTACTTCTTCTTCCCCCCCCCCCCAATGTAAATTTGGTCTTGTGGGAGCAGGTCCTTTCCACCTTAAACACTTATGTGAGTTGCCACCAGTCAGAGGAAACATGTGGACAAGGGGGACCCAATAGATGTTGTTTACCTTGACTTCCAGAAAGCTTTTGATAAAGTTCCTCGTCAAAGGCTCCTAAGTAAGTTCAATAGTCACGGGATAAAAATACAAGTCCTTTTGTGGATCAAAAATTGGCTAATTAATAGGAAACAGAGAGTGAGTATAAATGGACAGTTTTCTCAGTAGAGGGTGGTAAGCAGTGGGGTACCACAGGGATCAGTACTTGGTCCGATGCTTTTTAACTTGTTCATGAATGAATTGGAGTTGGGAGTAAGCAGTGAAATGGCTAAATCTGCAGATGACATAAAGTTGTTCAGGATGGTGAGAACCAGGGAGGATTGTGAGGCACTCCAAAGGGATCTGTTGAGGATGGGCAAGTGGGCATCAATATGGCATATGAGGTTCAATGTGGCCAACTGCAAAGTGATGCACATTGGGGCCAAAAATCCTAACTATAAATACACGTTGATGAGGTCCAAACTGGCAGAGACTGACCAAGAAGGACGTCCTTCTTCACCCAAAGAGTGATTAACACTTGGAATTCACTGCCACAGGAAGTGGTGGGTGCTACAAGCATGGACGGCTTCAAAAGGGAATTAGATAAGCATATGGAGCAGAGGTCCATCAGTGGCTATTAGCCACAAGGTATAGATAGGGACTCTGGGGCAAGTGATGCTCTGTCATCTTGGTGCTTGGGGGGGTCAACAGTGGGAGGGCTTCTAATGTCCTGGCCCCACTGCTGGACTTCCTGATGGCACTGGTATTTCTGGCCACTGTGTGACACAGAGTGTTGGACTGGATGGGCCTTTGGCCTGATCCAACATTGGCATCTCTTATGTTCTTATGTTCTTAAGATTATGCATGGGATAGAGCAGGTAGAGAAAGAAGTACTTTTCTCCCTTTCTCACAATACAAGAACTCGTGTGGGCACTCAATGAAACTGTTGAGCAGTCAGGTTAGAATGGATAAAAGGAGGTACTTCTTCACCCAAAGAGTGACTAACACATGGAATTCACAGCCACAGGAGGTGGTGGCGGCTACAAGCATGGACGGCTTCAAGAGGGAATTAGATAAACATATAGAGCAGAGGTCCATCAGTGGCTATTAGCCACAAAGTATAGGTAGGAATTCTCAGTCTGGGGCAAGTGATGCTTTGTATTCTTGGTGCTTGAGGAGGGCAATAGTGGGAGGGCTTCTAGTGTCCTGGCCCCACTGGTGGACCTCCTGATGGCTCCTGGTATTTTTGGCCACTGTGTGACAGAGTGTTGGACTGGATGGGCCATTGGCCTGATCCAACATTGGCCTCTCTTATGTTCTTATGTACTCTTACATTCTGCTTCAAAAGAAGCTGCCCGTTTTCCATATCTCCACTGTCTGGTTAATAAACACCATGAAATGCAGAGACAGGAGAAAAGATCACTCTTTTTAATGGCTATTTCTTCTCCGAAGAGATAAGTGAACGCTTCCTTTGGGGATGACCAACTGGCCTTTAATTCAGGCTTCTGTGCTTTGTGCCACATTAACAGAGAATGTGATATTCTCTTTGGGAAAGCTCCAATTTCCCTTTACACGAGTGCAAAGATTATGGCTAGGATGCTGCTCCATCCATGGACAGCTAGAGTCAGAGGCTACCTTCTCCATATCACTCAAGGGTCATTGCGTGGAGGAGAGTCTAGGTCAGAGGTGTCAAACATGCAGCTCGGGGGCTGGACCAGGCCCTCGGAGGGCTGCAATCTGGCCCACAAGGCCCTGGCTGTTTCCTGCTTCCTTTTCCAGTTCTGCTGCTATTACTACATTACTTCTTACTTTACAAGACTCTCTCAGTCGCACAGGAGAAATAGGCAAGCCTCTTCTGTGTGATTGAGCGAGTCTGGTAAAGCACTGGCTGAGGCTCCTCCCCCTCCTCCTCCTCCCAGGGGGAGGGAAGGAACCAGCCAGAGCTCGCTTCCTGGCCAGGCTGCCTCAATCATATACAGGAGTCAAAGGGAAGCCTTTCTTTCCTTCCACTGGCTGAGGCTCCTCCCTGAACGGAGGCAGGGAGGGAGGGAATGAAGGAGAGCTTGCTTTCCTGGGTTGCCTCAATCGCACAGCAAAAATACCAGGCATCTTTAAGACCAACAAAGTTTTGTTCAAAGTATGAGGTTTTGTGTGCCTTGCTACATTGTATGTGTATTCTGTTGGGCTCCTTATGCTGTGTGTGTGTGTGTATGTTTTGTTGGGCTCCTTATGTCAGGGCTCTCAGAATTCAACTGGGTTCCCTCCTCCTTTTCACTGTGTTCATGCCCTCATGATCCAGTCTTTCTCACTAAGAAAGGAATGTGAACTATTTTAGAGGAGGAATAACAACAAGCCAGTGAGGTGGATTAGGCTGAGAGTGCGTGTCCAGACTGAGTTCACCCAGCACATTTCCTTTGTAGGAAGTTGTAGTTATTTCTATGGGGAAGACTATAGTTTTGTAGACAAACAAACAGCCCTCAGTCTGTGTCAGGATGCCTTCTCATGTTCTCGATCAGCACATGAAGCAACTTATGTACAAAAGCTCGCAATGCCCAGCCATTTCATGTTTCCCCCTGGGTCCTAGGCTCAGAATACTGTGCATGAGATTTCTATAATGAATGTCAATAAATCAAAAGTAGGTTTGCAGCTTACAGATACACACCTGAACAGCTTACTCAAGATTGCTACAGCACAGAAATTTTGATGCAATAATTTGGAGCAAGAGGAGTCAGTTATCAGAGACTGTTAAATAGACAAAATATTGCAAGAGTGCTAGTGTTTTAAGCATGTTTTATTTAAAGTTTAAAAAATCTTTGTGTTTGTCTGTGCCAAAGTTTATATCTCCACTACCTGGAATTACATTTTATGACACACATGGCCTGGCCCAACAAGGTCTCATTTATGTCAGATCCGGCCCTCATAACAAATGAGTTCAACACCCTTGGTCTAAGTAGCTGAACCACCCCTCAGTCAAATATGGCCAAGTGTGTGGATTGCAAATCCAAAGAGAAAATGCTGGGAGAATTAGTGCTGATTGGCAAAGTCCATGTGAATAAATTCAAAAGCATTTGTCATTTCTAGGAGACCCATGCTTAGGTGATTGGGGTGGTGTAGTGGCTAAGAGAATCTGGGAGGTCTCTACTTCAAATTTTGCCTGTACCACAACTCTACTGGAGCATTTCTGTTTCATGCTTCTTATTGGTAGGCTCCCAATAGGCATGAACATAACATCTGGAAAGGACTAGGAGCTGATGTCGCAACTGTGCTCTTCATATCAAAATGTACTCTTTGTGGCTTCTATGACATGTCTTGCCACCATCAGTTTGTAAGCCTTCTCGACTATGGACCCACCCCTTTGGGCAAGTTTTCTGTCAGAGCTCTTCTTCACAGGCCAGTTTGGTGTAGTGGTTAGGACTGCGGACTCTTATCTGGGAGAACCGGGTTTGATTCCCCACTCCTCCACATGCAGCTGCTGATGTGACCTTGGGTCAGTTACAAGTTCTTTCAGAGCTGTTCTCTCAAGAGCAGTTCTCAAAAGAGCTCTCTCAGCTGCACCTACCTTACAGCGTGCCTGTTGTGGGGAGGGGAAGGGAAAGGAGATTGTAAGCTGCTTTGAGACTCCTTCAGGTAGTGAAGGGTGAGGTATAAATCCAATATCATCCTCTTCTTTTTCTTCTTCAACAGGCAGTAAATATTATCTTATTTTAATAGGGGTTTTTTTAGATTGGAATTGTCCTTATAGGTTTGAAACTGCCGGTCGTTTTGTTTTATTTGTGTCATACAGATGGTATAGATTGATCCGTTTTACACTGTTTTGAACATGTTGATAGTGTTTTGATTGTGCTGATGATGATACCGCACATAGTCTGCTTTGGACTCTTGGGAGGAAAGGCAGACTAAGACAATGTTTTAAGTGCAATGAAGTGAAGTTCAGCCAGCAGCAGTGGCGCTGAAGAAAGATAAAGAAGATCAACAGCGGAATACTTAGGTAGTGTTTCAGAGGGTTAATGTACAGCAGAGATATTTTATTTGCCATTTATATATGAAAGAGGCAGGGTAAAAATGCTCTCAATCAATCAGTCAATCAATCAATCAATCAATCAATCAAAGCCTGTATCAAAGTGAGAATCCACATTAGTACAAATTTCTGATGTTCTACAGCATTCACAACACCAAGCTAAGTGTTCAAATTAGTTCAGGGCTTGATTGTTTGTTTGAAAATGCTGTTGTGAGGAACTCTCTCTGAACATGGAAAACGTACACATCAAGGAGACGTTTTTTAGCACAGTTTTCTTTCTGGTATATAAGATAAAGTTTGGGGTTTTTTTGGAGGGTGGAGGTCATGGCAATGCTGTCAAACAAACAGGTGCCTTCTGAGGCAGTCTAGAAGCCTGGTCAATGTGATAGGCCAAATGTTTGAATGGTCTGATACAAATACTATTGAAGGAATGGTAATTCCAGGCTAGCCTGATTTCATCAGATCTCAGAAGCTAAGTAGGGTCAGCCCTGGTTCACATTTGGATGGGAGACTACCAAGGAGGTCCAGGGTTGCTATGCAGAGGCAGGCAATGGCCTACCTTTGAAATGCAAAATTACAGTCTCCTTTCAATACTTTTAAGAATGTAAGAACATAAGAGAAGCTGTGTTGGATCAGGCCAGTGGCCCATCCTGTCCAACACTCTGTTTCATACAGTGGCCAAAACCCAGGTGCCATCAGGAGGTCCACCGGTGGGGCCAGAATTTCAGAAGCCCCCCCACCATTGCCCCCAAGCACCAAGAATACAGAGCATCACTGCTCCATACATAGTGTTCCATCCATACCTTGTGGCTAAAAGCCACTGATGGACCTCTGCTCCATATATTTATCCAATCCCCTCCTTAAGCTGTCTATACTTGTAGCCACCGCCACTTCCTGTAGCAGTGAATTCCACGTGAACTACTTCCTTTTGTTGTCAAACACTTTGGCATTTAGGTATTATTTTCTTTTTATAGAGCAGAATCATGTTCTCCCATTGTTAGGTAATCAGCTGACATAAAAAGAGAAAACAGTCCATGGGCATTGATCCTCTTTATCTTGCCCTCAGCCTTCCAAGTTGAGCATCGAGGGAGGGGAGGGGAGGGGAGCAGTGGGTGTCACTCAGCGGTGGAAGGCAGCTTTGGCCAGGGTGTGCAGACACAATCATACCTTCAGCCTTGTGAAAAACCCACAACTTGTTTTGTTCATTTTGTTTAGGCAGCCAACAAAAGCCAGAAGAGAAGAGGGTAGGCCAAGACACAGAACTTAACACAAGGCTCCCATCAGAATCCAAAGAACTGGAGAAACCACCCGAAAGGACTGTGAAGGAACAACTGAATGAAGAAGAATTTAAAAGACAGGCCAAAGAAGGTGAAAAATGGCACCCAGAGGAAGGAGAACACGAGGGAAAAGATGACCAACAAGTTGCCTCCCCAGGGAGCCCTTATTCTTATGATGAAGCCCAGAAAGAGGAGAAAAAGAATGAGGATGAGAAAGAAAATGGAGAACATGGAAGTTATACAAGAAATTACCACAGCAAAGAAGGAAACAGAGAAAAGAAACATAATGAGGAGGGGGAAGATGAACCTCTAGACAAAAAGTCTCTTTCTACAGTTGGAAGGATGGCTGAGGGCCTAAAGCACTCTGAGGAAAGTGTACACAGCCAAGAAAAAGGAAACCAGGAAAGCGAGGAAGAGGAGGAGGAGGAGGAAGAAGAAGAAGAGAGCAGTGAAAAATATCACCGTAATTTCCATCGAGAATTTGAAGATTCTTATGAGAAAGAAGCTGAGGCAGAAAAACGAGACCACAAACCAAGACAGAACCACCGGAAATCGAGGCTGGGCAATTCTTCTGAATACAGAAGACATCATAATGGTGAGAAGAGGGATTCCCCTGAAGAGTCAAGTGAGGAAGAGGATGACTTCTGGGATAAAAGGAGCCGCTGGCCCAAACACTATTACGAGACAGGACATCATTATGGGGAAAAGAGAAACTCTGAGGAGATGTACGGTTCTGAAGAAATGGAGGGAAGGGGCAGGAGTAAAGAGAACTATGACAGAAAGTATCACAGCAAAGAAGAGGAAGATACAAGACACCATGGAAGGGGAAGTGAAGAGAAACAGCACCACTATGAGAGAAAAAGACTCCATGGTGAGCCACAAAAGGAAGCAAGGCACCATTATGAGGAAAGGAAGCCTCAGGGCAAAGCAAGTGAGGAATATATGGGCAAGCAGCATAGCTACAGGGCCCCGGAGGTGAGACGGCATACTGACAGAGAATGGCAGCACTTACAGATGGAAGAGGTCCCAAAGTCACCGAGCATGGACATGGAGGAGGGAGAGCAGAGGTTCTACAGCCCAGAAGAGGAGACCAGGGAAGAAAAACGGCACTATCCTAGCGTCCTCGAGGAGGAGCTTGAAAAGAGACGCCAGAGTGAGGGGAAAAAACATGGCATTAATAAAAGGACATTCCTGGTTGAGGAAGGCTACCCAAGGAGCCACTATCTTGTACAGAATGTGAAAAGAGCTGCACCTTCATACCTCCCTAACTACCAGCAGCTCAGATGGAAGAACCGACATGCTCAAAAGAGAGATGACGTGGCCAACCTGTTTTTAGACAGTGAGGAAGAACCCAGGTCCCATCTGGATGAGAGAGATTTCTTTCCTGACTACAACGACTATGAGCCATGGGAGAAGAAGCAACTTATGGACAGCTTGAATCACAAGCTCAGCGAGAACAGTCGCCGTGAAAAAACCCACCAACTTGACGTTAAGAGACAGTACAACAGGATGGATGAACTCGCCCACCTTCTGAGCTACAGGAAGAAATCGGCAGAGTTTCCGGAACTATACAGCTCCAACGAAGACGCGAAGAGGGGACACATGATAAGGAGCGATGAGGGCAAACTTGGTCAGCGGCCTTTGACGCAAGAGGAGGTATTTATTTATGATTTGATATGAAAGACTAATGGGAAACAGCTTTGGCTTAAGATCAAAGCTTAATTTCCGCAATACAGATATGTTTAGTGGCATATAGCAGAGAAACTCCACAGGCACCGTGTAGTGGTTTGGATCCTGCAGCTCTGGTAACTGATGGCACCTCTCCCCAGGTGCAAGATGCCTTACCCTGGTGGAAGAGGCTCTTTTGCCATTGACAGAAAGGATTTGCAGGATCCAGCCAATATAGGTAAAGCCCTCACTGTTCACATCCAGATAGCGTACAGAAATTACCATCAGTGGTTTGTATCTGAACCATCTATGCCTGAAACATGGCGTGTTCCTGGACTCCATTTTGTTTCTGGAGTCTCTTGTAACCACCAAGATCATTCCCAGGGTTGTGGGACCTGTGTGGAGGAATAGCTACGGGTTTGGGGGGCTGTTGTGGTGGAGGGACATGGTAAAATGGTTCTCCTTGCTCTTCCACAAGCACAGACGTCGTAAGGGAAAGGGGTTATCTCATCCCCTCGTCCCTCCTCATTGCAGCCCCCCTCCCGACCCACATGTATTTCTCTCCATGCAGACTTCACAACCCCAGGAATGGCATTTCCAGGTGTTGGAATGGGCTGCAGGAATGGAGAGGAATACAAGAAAATTCCATTTGGCATCTATTCACAGATGGTTGGATGCAGGCCAGGGTGTTAGAGTGAATGATGTAGCTTTAATTGGCTTTCACTTAGTCCTTAGCTGCCCCAGATGTCCTGTTACACTTGTGCTTTATGCGAATTACACAGTCTGCTGATGTTTCTCCAATTTCACCCGCAGAAAGAGTCAGCAAAACCGAGTTCTTAAGAAAAGTATTGTGCTATAAGATCTGATGTAGGGTTACCAGCTCTGGGTTGGGAAATACCCTGAGATTTGGGGGCGGAGCCTGAGGAGGGTGGGGTTTAGGGAGGGGAGGGGCTTCAGTGGGCTTTAATCCCATAGAGCTGACCTTCCGAAGTGGCCATTATTACCCAGTGAACTGACCTCTGTCACCTGGAGATCAATTGTAATCCCAGGAGCTCTCCAGCCACCACCTGGAGATTGGCAACCCTAGGCTGATGCAAAAATATTTGGAATGCTTTCTGGTTTGAGGCTGCACTGTAAAAGAAAGGGTGCTTTCTCCCCCAGACGTCCCCTCTCTTTGGTGTGCAGACCTCTTAGAAAGCTGGGGGCAGAAAGGAACCTCTGGCCTTCTCTTATCCCTGGTAGCACGCCACCACCTCCAGGTCTGAAAATCTACCACTCTCACTCAGTGCCACCAGTGTTCCCTCTAAGCTGAGTTAGTGTGAGCCAGCTCACAGTTTTTTAGCCTCCGGCTCACACGTTTTTGTCTCAGCTGAGGAAGGAGGGCTCCAGAGCAAACGAATTGATGCAGCAGCCAAACTGCTCGCCCACAACTTTAATGCCGGTAGCTCACAAAGCAGAATTTTTGCTCACAGGGCTCCGCAGCTTAGAGGGAACATTGAGTGCCACCCAGGGGAATTATGCCGAAGGGGAATCTTATCCTAGTGCTGCCGAGTATCCAAGGCAGTGGGTGGGTAAGGAAGCATACCAGGCTCTTAGTTAAACAACTTTACTAGCTACAAGGTACAACTCATAGGTAAGTACAGGACAGATCAGTAAGGTGAATGGATACGAAAGATGGGTTTCTGGGTAGTTAACTCACAGTCCTTGAGCATCTGGTCCCGCCTCTGAGGGAGGCTGGTTTTTGGTTGCATAGTGCACCCCCAACCCCCAGTGTCTCCTGGGTCACACCCGTCTCTCCTCACAGCCATCAACCCACAGAAAAAGGAACCAGTGTTCCCTCTAAGCTGAGTTAGTGTGAAGCTAGCTCACAGTTTTTTTAGCCTCCGGCTCACACATTTTTGTCTCAGCTCAGGAAGGGATGGCTCCAGAGCAAACTGATTTATGCAGTAGTCGAATCGCTCGCTCACAACTTTAATGCCAGTGGCTCACAAAGTAGATTTTTTGCTCACAGGACTCCACAGCTTAGAGGGAGCATCGAAAGGAGCAGTTCCCTTTTTCAGCCCCTCCCCCCACATGGGATTATTAACTTTATTTATTTTGTTTTGTTGGACTTCTAGCCCTCCCTCCCCACAAGCAGGCTCAGGGGAGGTAGCAACGACAATAGACGACATAACTCAATATGTAAATATAAATATAAATGTCTGAAGAAATGTGCTCTACGTACACGAAAGCTTACACTTTGAGTAAAGCTTTGTTGGTCTTAAAGGCGCCCCTAGACTCAAACTTTGTTCTTTAAATACAACAGTTCTTAAAACCCAAATCACAGCTATTAAAACCCAAATCACAATAGAACAATCGATACCAACAGTACCCATTGGTGGCACCATTCAGCCAATCCGTCTCCATCTCCATCTACTCCTCAGCCAATCTGGGAGCCAGGTCCTGGAGTTTAGGCCCTGCCGGAACATGGTTCCTCCAATCAAGAGGGGTTAACACATCAAAGAGATGGTATATTTCAGTTGTAAGTGACCCATCCGGTGAGGTGTATCTTTCCCATACTCTGCCAGTCTCTGGGATGCCAACTCAGCCTTCCATCTCCATAACTGCCACAGAATATCTTGCCCATCTGCCTCTCATCCAGGGCTAGTTCCAGGTCCCCCCCCCCACAGAGAGTTCCCAGGGCCTGCCCCTCCTCTGCCCAGCCCAGGCACTCCTTCCCTCCCACCGACCTTGATGCCTCCCACCTGCTTGTGTGCCCTTCCCTTCCCTGCTCACCTGCCCTCCCCCTGCCCACGCTCACACCTGCCTGCAGCCTTTGATTTGTACTTCTGGACAGTCCCCAGCAATTTTGGTGGCAGCCTTAACCCCAGTGAGGCCATGGGTCTGGCTCACCTTCCTCCTGATACGTTTGTGCCTCGGAGGGCAAACAGTCATAAGACTTATAAAGAATGCTGTTTATGTATTGCAGTCTAAAGCACTATAACATGATACACAATGTCGTCTCCGGATTACATAAAAACGTTTCAAAAAATGAATCTTCTTCAGGAGATATTATAGTGGTGCCAAAGCTCTCAGTTTCATAAATGTTAGACAACAAGTCGTAAGAATATTAAATTCAGATAGGACGCTGATCTCAATTAACATTCAGGCTCAAAATATGCTGCTATGTTTCTACTGGAACCCCAGTGAGGCCATGAGTCTGACTCACCTTCTTCCTGATATGTTTGTGCCTCAGACGGTCTTGGTTCTGGGAGTCGTGGACCAGTGCCATAGCTGATAAGACAGCAGTATTGGTAGTACCCCATACAGAACATCTCCCATAGAACAGAACGGCTTCCCCCAGGATCCCTGAAACACAGGAACAAAATAGCTGCCATTCAGTACCATCAATCCCCAGCAATGCTCCCTCTAAGCTGTGGAGTCTTGTGAACAAAAATCCTACTTTGTGAGCTACTGGCATTAAAGCTGTGAGCAAGCGATTTGGCTTTAGTTTGCTCTGGAGCCCTCCTTCCTGAGCTAAGACAAAAAATGTGTGAGCTGGAGGCTAAAAAACTGTGAGCTAGCTCGCACTAACTCAGCTTGGAGGGAACACTGAGATTCCCCAGTCCTGCCAGAGGTGGTCAGTGTGATGGTAGGGGCCAGGGAAAAGGCACCCTTTGAGCAAATGTACATGTGCCAATGAGCACCTGAGCACGCTGACCTGGGTAGCCCAGGCAAGCCCGATCTCGTCAGATTTCAGAAGCTAAGCAGGGCCGACCCTGGCAAGTCCTTGGAAGGGAGATGCAAGGCTGGGGCGCAGAGGCAGGCAATAGTAAGCCACCTCTCTGAAACGTCCAAGCCCCACTAGGGGTCGCCAGAAGTCAACCCTGACTTCCAGGCATGTGTGTGCACACACATAATACTCACAAAAAATGTGCAAATGAACCATGATCAGAGATAATCCCCCCCCCAGCCCTTTGATGTAAGTGAAGACTGCTGCTTACAGGGCTCTTTTTGTAGAAAAAGCCCAGCAGGAACTCATTAGCATAATAGGCCACATAATAGGAATGCATTAGCATATTGGGCCACACCCCTGCCAGCACAGCTCATTAGCACATTAGGCCGCACCCCCATGTTACCAGAAGTGTGGTTATCCAGCCACACCCACCTTTTGCTTGTTATTCTGTTTACTTTGTTTGTTGACAAAACCCAGGACTTTTTTGTAGCAGAAACTCCTTTGCATGTTAGGCCACACACCCCTAATGTAGCCAATCCTAATGAGTTTCTGCTGTTGGGTGTGGCCTATTATGCTAATGAGTTCCTGCTGGGCGTGGCCAACTTGGGAGCCAGCCGGAACTCCGTTCCTGTGCGTTCCTGCCCAAAAATAGCCCTGGCTGTTTATGTTAAGCCTTTTAATCTGAAGCACAGTCAAATGTTCGTAATAATTTTTTAAAAAGGAATGGAAGCCTGTGATTCCATGAACTACTGGGATCTCCTTTTCCATGCTATGCAGGAGAAAGAACTGGAAAGTCTGGCTGCCATGGACTTGGAGCTACAGAAGATGGCGGAGAAGTTCAACAATAACCGGCAGGGATGAACGTTGCCCGGCGTGACGTGGGTATGGTAAAGTGTTAGCGTTATGGATGGTTAACCTAGTATATTTATTGGTAGAAATCACTGCCATCACTGGTGTTCTCCTCCCCTTCCTAACAGAAATGCTGTTCACTGTGCGCTAAACATATAACGATTTACACAGCCGCAAGCCTCTTTCTGTTGCAAATGTGCTAGGAAGATCAGAGTAGCATGAATCCTAGCAGATAAGTGTACGTCCAAGGCAGATGTTTTAACATGCGTGTGGCAATAACTTGTATTTGTGTTCTTCAGAAATGTATTAATTGTCGCTTTGTTTGAAATAATAAAATACCATTGTCCAAAATATGACCTGGGTGTCTTCTTTGCGGAATGTCATGCTAGTCGTAGGAAGCCAAATTATTTATTTATTTAGATATTTATACAGAGAGACAGAGACAGAGAGAGAGAAAGACTGGCACAGCAAACTTCCACAGCAGAGGGTAGATTCGAACCTGGGTTTCCCAGATCCCTGGGTTTCCCACAGTGGAGCCATCAATCAGTCGATGAATGCCACAGCCGCTTTATTCAACTGACCCACTGTGCTTGTGTGTGAGAGAAGCGTAGTTCCTTATCACCAGGATGGTGTCTATGCAATGCATGTAGTTTATACATGCATAGGATGCTGTGCCCACATTTGGATGAATACACGTAGCTGGGGTGGCAAGGTCAGGGTGCTTGTACTCAAGCAGGGAACCATTCAGCCCTGCTCCCTCTCTCTGCACGGGGCTTCATCCACTAACGTCAAGGAGCTGATCCTTTGCCTTGAGTCCACTAGTGCCTTAGTGGGTCACTGATGACCTCCGTTAATTCAATAAGCATGTAATAAAACAGCGACCTAACTATGGCTTTAGAAAAGAGCAAGGATTGTTTGATGTGGTTGGGGATGGGGTGGTAACTGGAGGCATGTAAATATGTTTGCTGATCTGTCGGTTTCTGGTATAATGTGGTCAGAGCCGGCCCGAGGTGTTTCTGCGCCCTAGGCGGGGGGGGGCAACTGTGCAGGAGGCGAGGGGGGCGCCGCATCTCCTCTGCGCCCCCGGCCATGTTGGCACCCCCGGCCGGCCTGGAGGATGGGGGGGGGGATTGGAGAGGAGGGGTCTCCCGGGGAGTCCATCCCCACGCGCCCGTGCCCTCTCCCCACCGCCACTGCACTCACTGGCCGGGCCGGGCGCTCCCTCCCTCCTGCCTGCCTTCACCGCCGCCGCTGGGGGGCTCCCAGCAGTGGCAGCCTCCACCTTTACGCAGCCCTGACCCACCACAGCAGCAGCAACGCCGCTGCCGGCTCCCCCATGGCTGGGCACGCCAGAGCCGCAACTGCCCCACTGCAGAGATGTCGCCCAGAAGGGCCAGGCTGCCTCTCCCCTGCCCCTGCCTGGCCGCGGGGTAGCTGCTGCGGCAGCCGGCGGCGCTTGGGGGCGGGGGATGTGGGGCTGGCTGGGGATGCGGCTGCTTCAGCGGCGGAGCAGGGGAGGCGAACGGCGGCGTGCTTCAGCAGCGCGTGGGCTTTTTGGGGGGAGGCGAACTTCGGCACCCCATCCAGGGCCCGCGCTCTAGGTGAATGCCTAGTTCGCCTAGCAGGTGAGCCAGCCCTGTGCCCACCCCATCCAGGGCCTGGCGCTCTACACGAATGCCTAGTTCGCCTAGCAGGTGAACCGGCCCTGAATGTGGTACTTATGTGTTCCTCATGTATCCGTACTGGAAGTTTATTTCTTGTGTAGAGTAATTCATAGTTAGATTGATGGTAGGGTGGAAGTTGTGGAAAGCCTGGTGAAATCTCTCGAGGGCTTCTTTTTGCCATGGGTCCAGACAGTGAAAATGTCATCAATGAATCAAGCTGTATGCTACACAGTGACATGGACTCTAATCCTCCAATCACGTGCCTCGAAAGTTTCATGAGGTCATTATAGGTTGGTTGCAACTTGAGAGCACTTATCATTATTTTCTTAAATGCAGTACATATATTTGTTGCGCCTTGGATCCCCAACCTTGTTGAGCCTGTGGGCACTTTTGGAACTCTGAAACAGTGTGGTGAGCGCATCAACGAAATGGCTGCTGCAGGAGGCAGACCCAGCCACAAAATGGCTGCCGCAGCTTACCTTCAGTCTGACAGTGAAGGCTCTTGTGCTATAGTGGCAGCAGTTGCCAAAGCAATGTTTTAAAAAATCTGCACACCCAATCAAATCAAAGCCCCACCTGGTCCTGCCCACTTTCTAAAAATACTTGGCAGGTGCCAGTAAAGGTGTTGGTGGGCCCAGGGCACCTACGGGCACCATGTGGGGGATCCCATTGTATGTTATTCTAACAAGTACACAAGAACAGCCAAAGAGTTCCTTAAAGGGGGCATTTCAAAGCTTTATATGCATCTATGAGCCTTTTAGCTACTCTAGATGTCCTCTTCTTTCTTTTAATGAATGTTTGAGGATGGCATTGTTCCTTTATGGAATACTGAGCGGGGGAGCATGGTTTAATTGTACAGAAAGTGCTTTAAGTGGAAAATTTACACAATCCTTCATTTCTTTTCACATTAGAATTTTATTTTGCTGTCCCTGCACAGGAGAGTGAGAAAGGTGGTCTATGGAAAATTAATAGTAAAGGTAAAAGGTAAAGTCTTCCCTTGCTTGAAAGCCAGTCGAGTCTCGAACTGCTGAACTACTTACCTTCCGGTCTGCAGTTAAGTGTCTTAAAATTAATAGTAGATATCAGTTAATGAAGATGACATACCTAAGTGCAGTTAAGTTGTGACTGACTTATGGCAGCCCCCAGCAAGGGGCTTTCAAGGCAAGTGAGGAGCAGAGGTGGTTTTAATAATAATAATAATAATAATAATAATAATA